CTGTTCACGATGCAAGATTTAGTAGAGTTTATTTTATTATTATTGGGTGTCATAATATTTGCAATTGTTCTCATGACACTTTTCTTTCTTTCTTTTTTTCGTTTGGTTTTTCAAGACAGGGTTTCTCTGTATTGCTTTGGAGGTTGTCTTGGAACTCTGTAGACCAGGCTGGCCTCGAACTCACAGAGATCTACCTGCTTCTGCCTCAGGAGTGCTGGGGTTAAAGGTGTGAGCCAACAACGCCTGCTCTTGTGACACTCTCAATGCTCTAATGCCAGTAGCTTCAGAAAACAAACCACAGGAATTGGCCAAGTCTCAAAGCAGTGCTCACCTCAGGCATTAGAATTTCCATTAACTCCTCTTGGGGAAGGGTCTGAATAATTTCCTCTAAGAGTAAAATCCCCAATGTGGCAACCATGTAAGGAATGGAGAAGGAGTGCAGTCTGTCCAACAGCGAGAGTTAAAAACTTTCCTGATATTTGCCAGCTTTCCATCTTTACAAACAAAAGTTTATTATGGGTCTTTGATGTATTTTTTGGGCGTGGAAAGCACAAAGTTGGGAGCGTTGACCAGGATTCATTGTGGGAAATTCCCAAATAATCAGTAAAAAATATTATGTTTAAAGAAAACAAAACAAAACAAAAAATAAAATTTCCATGGGTGCTGGGGTATTGTGTGTGTGTGTGTGTGTGTGTGTGTGTGTGTGTGTGTGTGTGTGTGGCAGGGTTATAGTTGCCATCAAGCATACATGGAAGTCAGAGAACAACTTTCAAGAGTCTGTCCTATCCTTCCACTGTGTTGGTTGAGGGGATCAAACTTAAGTTGAAAGGCTTGGGGCTAAGCACCTTTATCTGGAGAGCCATCTTATTGTCTCTGATTTTGAGTAATTTTTATTGACTACAACTACAGATACTGAAGTTGTTTATATGCCAGATTATTTTATGGTCCTGTAATTTTGTCTGCTGAAATGCTTATGCCATTGATTTCCTAGAAAATGGGATGTTTGTACTACTTAATGATCTCTTATCCCTGCATCTTAATGGCTAGGAATAAAAGTCATTGCTATTGTGGAGCTCCTCTTTCACTCCTTTCTGTCTTTCCTTCCTTTCTCTCACCCACTCTCATTTCTTTCTTTGTTATATGTCATAGATGATAAGAAAGGATGTATGAACCTTAGAACATGTGTACTCAGTGTCTGAAAGACAGTGAGTGAGGCATCGTTTGAGCTTGCTTTGCTGTTCCCACAGTAAAGATCCATTGCTGCGTATCTGCATGAGAACTAAGGGAAAGACGGCAGTGTTGGTCATCACTGTATGAACAAATAGAGGACAAATAAATTGAGATCTACTCCAGAGGCAAATAGGGCTGCAAAGCTGAAGGCTTCCTGAAGATTCAGACCCGCTAGTCTCTTTTGGCCTCATCTTTGCTTTTCTCCAGTGGCCTATGGTGTTCATTTCTTCTTTTTACCCTCTTGCCTCTTGTTGCATTCACTTATTTCCCCCCATGTGGGAAACCATATGTTGTTCTAGTTGAGGGGTAAGTCTTATCCTGGGTCATTCCTCTACTAGAACTTTTCAGTCTTCTTCATGAGATAAAGTCTTAGATCATGACATGTTATAGTTAATCTTGGAAATAAAATTAAATGGCTTTAAAGGCTATGATGAAGGGCAGTTGGAGTTGGCCAAAGACAAGAATGACTTCAGAGCTGACTACCTACTGGTCATGTGACTTTTGGAGAGTTTTCTGTGCCTCAAGTCTCTTGTTTGTGAAACATGGACACCACTGACTTCTCTAGAGGGACTTTGGCATAATTGCACAACACATCTTACTGAGAATATTATGGCTACTGTAAAGGAGACCCAGCTGTTCCTTTCCCTCTTTCTAATAATCAAAACAAAACAACAAAACATTGGAATATAACACTAAACTGAGAGGTTAGTGAGCTGAGTTATCCTTGATTAAAATGGAAAATTTTTCTGAGTGACTATTGAAGGATCAGTGATAAATGGGGCATTTATATCACCGCCATTGAAATTCATGGAATATCATGGAGGAAGGGTGGACAGAATAGAAGAGCTGATGGAAGGGGCCAGTTGTAGAGCACCAACGTCCAGGCACTCTAGAATTCCGAGCAGTTGTTATTATCTGCATGAGGTCTGTATGAGATGGCGTTGATCAACAGCATGTCACTGAGGAAGGAGAGATCATGGGGTCGGACCCTTATCTTTGGATTTATAACCTGTTAAAGGGGGCAGAAAGAGACATTTTTCTTTAATGGTGTAGCTACTGGCAAGGTGCCTGTGTTCCTGTAAATAAACATTCACCCATGCTACTGTAAGTATGGTCAACAAATTTCAGTGGGCCACAAAACAAAACTAACAAACCAGAAGGTCATAAAAGTATAAGGGGACCTACTTATGAAGAAGAAGGATTTAACAAAAGTAGGAGGTGGACAAGAGCAGGTAATGCAGGGCAAATATGATCAAAATACATTATGCACACATATGAAAATGTATGGGCATGTAATGAAACCCATTAGGATGCACAGCTAATGTATGCTAAAACAATTAAAATGGAAATTCTCAATTGATTTGAGCAACAACTTTAATTAGCCTTTTTGTGGAAGACGAATTGCGCATATACTCCCATAGCATGTGAGAAGTTCTACCCCATAATAAACTTGCCTGAGGATGAATTCTTTCCCCCTTAATTTACCTAAAGACACTTGCAATACTACTGAGAAAGAATTTAGCCAGTCATTTTTATATTGAAATACAAGGAGGAGATGGAGTGTCTCTACTTATGCCTACTTATAAAATGTGCACATTCTTAAGAATAATCATTTCTTGCTTTAAAGATTGAAGGCAGCTGGCATTGGTGGTGCATGCCTTTAATGCCCAGCACAGAGGCAGGCGGATCTCTGTGAGTTCCAGGCCAGCCTGGTCTCCAGAGTGAGTGCCAGGATAGACTCCAAAGCTACACAGAGAAACCCTGTCTCGAAAAACCAAATAAAGAAAAAAAAAAGAAAGAAAAGAAAAGAAAAAAAGATTGAAGGCCACTTGTACATTTGTATTCATTCTAGAGTTACTACTGCTCTGTTTCCACAACTCTTATTTTTACATTTATTTTTGAAATCATTATACATGTATATCTCTTGGAATTTCATATACTAATCAAGCAATAAAATTGATTTACTGGTTTGACTTGTAGATATTGGTTTGCTTGTCATGTGTGGGTGTGTATTTGCCTACAGAATAATTATTGTTCCATTGAGTCACTAGTCTTTTTATTCTCATTGTATTCTTGCCAAAAAGAATGGAGACTGTGAAAGGCTACACAGCTGGTCCTTGGTTACAGAATTATAACCCAGTGAACAGCAGAATTCAGGCAATGACTGTCTACACACATATATAGCACACTCTTTCCACTTTCTTTCCCCTTCCTTTTGTGAGGATCAGCCTCTATTCTTGGCAGTAGCTGTTTTATACTCCTTTTCTTCCCTCTGTTACTCATTTTAGTATTTGAATAACACCAACATTACCTATTAATATTTCAATAATACAAGATCAGTAAAGTCTACATCACAGTATACATTTCCTCTTTTGTGAAAAACACAGTTAGGATCATTTCCAAAGGACATTCTCACTAGTGAAGATTCACTGGGAGCATCACCATGCTGTAGAATATATGTTAAATGTTCCCTGGCCTGGATCCCCCACTCCCTTGCAATAAAAATGGAGACCCTAAGTGTCATATCAATGTCTACAGGCTTAGGGTATAACCTAAATCTGGTGACAGGTTATAAAGTTATAAAGCTAGACTTTGGAAACCAGGGCAAGGGTATGAACTAGGTACTGACAGATTTGTGATGTTCTATCTGAAATCCATTTCTATATCAGGAATTTCTTGGATGCTTGTTACTATCAACAGTGCCTTTTAAGGTGAGTGCAACAAGTTTTCCGTAAGTCAGTGGTGAGACTTAAAATGCTTGAGGAGGGCTGATTATTTGAATATTATGTGATTTCTTATGCTTGAGAATCTAGCAGGGTACATTGAAATTTTTAATAGAAATTATCATATATATATTTATGTATATTCTATCCAATGTATGGATAATGTTAATTGTAATTTGTTTTCTCTTGTACTTTTATTTAAGTGTTGCATCAAAGATATAAATATTTTTGTGGTATAGAGGGCCATATGGGAAGATATGCCTATGTTTGCTCTGTCTTTGATGGATTTTATCCCTTTCCTAGACCACAGACAGTGTTGTTGGAAGAACGAAGACATTGTTAAAGAGAAATATACGTAAAAATATTGAGTGTGACTCACACTGAATAAGACAACACTGAGGCAGTTATGATGTTTGATACATTCAAAAGTTCTTAACCGGGGACATAGTTCCACTTAACATCATTCTGTAGTATGGGGTTCGATTCCCTTCAGTAGCATGAGTGTTATATGGAGATTGAATGAAAACTCTCTGAAATAGTATAGATATGGTTGATTGGAAAGTGTATCCCATGCAAACGAGAAAAGAAACACCAGAGTAAGAAACAGTAATAAACTATTTAAAACCTTTATATCTCAAAAGAGGAAAAGCCAAGCAGCCCACACGAGCAGTAGAGTAGGTGAAGAAAGGGTGGACAGAGACAGACAGGCAGGAGGCAGTTTCACTGCAGGTTCTTCAGAAGGCAGCGACCTCGAGAGAGCCACAAGCATGGTACACAGAGCGGCTGCACAGCCTCCTGTTGTTGCAGAAGGCTAAAGTGGGTCGTGAGACAGAGTCTGTGCTGCACACTCAGAGATCCTCCTCCTGCTCAAGACTGGCTGGGTCCTCTGGGAACCATGGCTGAGGCCTTCTGATAGGGGGCTCCAGTTCCCCAAAGAGATCCACAGACTGAGAAAACATGGAGAAGAAAAGCTAAATGTAGAAGATGCAGGATGAATCGACACACAAGGTGTTCATCTCTAAGAAATGAAGGAGGGGGCCAGGGAGATCATTTAGGTAGGCTTATGTCCCATAATAGATTTTTTTATTAAAGTAGGAAAAATAATAAATATCCCCTAGCATTGCATAAGCAAGTTTCCATTGGTTCAGGTAATGGGGCATTGAAGGAGGAAACACTGAAACTGTCATATACATTTGTAAGACACAGGTCGCCCATGGAGCAGATTTCTTCTTCCTAGTTCTTGAGTCTCTAACTCTTACCCAACAAAACAAAGTGAACCAAACTTTAGAAACTATTAACAAATATATTTATTGTGGTGGCTTTCTCCCCTACTAGATACACCTTGTTAGAAAGTAGTATCCCTTTAGTTCCAGATGGACCCTTAAGCAGGTAATAAAATTGTTTTCCCTTCATTAAGAAAGAAAACACACTTTTGCAAACATGTCACATTCTCCTCACTCTAGCTTTTGTTTTCTATAAAGTCAGAATTTTCTTCTAATATGTATGGTTTTGCTTTTGGAAGAAAGTTACAGGTACATGTTTACAGACTTATATAAACCGAGGTGTAGCAGACGATCAACCACACAGCGCTAAGATAGATTGGAGACCTGTTCCAGGTAATCACAACCCTTCCCAGTCTGGAAAGCACAGACGATCTCCAGTTCTATGATTTCTTCCACAGTTTGCCTTACTTCAATCCCACACAGTATATTTAACTCTGTTATGCACACTCAGTTTCTTGCAGAAGTACAGGATGAGGACAATAGAAGTAATCTTAAAAACAAAAACAAAAACAAAGCAACACTTGCTTCTTTGATGTTTAACTCTAGGATTCCACATGCCAGGCCTTAATTCTGACCATTCACTAGATCTCCTGGACAAATCCACCCTGTTCTTGGAGCGATGTTTCTCTCCCCTGACCTTTGTTTTGAGGGACACTGTTTCTTTGAAGTTGCAGAATTATCTTTTGCTTCTTAAAGACAATTACTTGAAGAACAATTTTTATAGGGAAAAGATGTTTCTTCTCTGGGTGTCATCATTACATTGAGGATAGCTTATAGGTTATTGATAATTATGTACAGATTTTCTCATCTTTTAAAAATACACAGAAGCACATAAGATAACCATCTGAAAGTATCCCTTCTTTGAACGTTTGGCTCTTTGCTGTTAACTATGCTTGTATGAAGAATATAGCAACTATTCGGAATGTTGTTTAGACAGAGCGGTAACTGATGTGTTGTCCGTTTGTGGTCCTAATGGCTAGAACACCTGTCCTGGGCATCTGGTTGAGATAGCAGCATCATGAGTCTACAATCACCTCACAGGACCCTCTAGTGTACAGTGCTGATTGATACCGATTTCTGTTGTTTCTCTTGGGCTTTTCTCTTCTGCTGCTGCTGTCTGTCTTTGTTTTCCCGCTGCTCTGGGGTCTCTCTGCTGGACTCCAAACCTTTGCTGTCAGAGCTTGTTTCCTTTTTTTCCTCTTTATTGAGTTTTTTTCGTTTTCTCTCCCTTCCTTTTTTTCCTGAAATGAAAGGACATTCATTTAATAAATTTTATTCAGTTGTATTCTCTTTGGTTATTCTAACTTATTAAAAATAGCATTTTTTCTCAAGTTGCGTATTGTACTCATAGATAACAAATATATAGTCTTTAAGACTTTCTCTCAGATACTTTTGTCAAACCAATAGACTTTTTGTGACCAATAGCATTAAGGGATTTATTTTGCAAAATTGTCACTTATGCATACCAAATGGAAAACTTACATATATTTTTAACCACCTGAAAACTTGATTAATATGTACATTTATCTGGTTTATATTTAAGGCAATATTTTATATTCAAGTTTACAAATAGCAATCATATATTTGTAAGCTGTGGTGACATTTGCATGTTATCTAAGAGGAGAGACTTGATTTATATAACAAATAAGGAAATAATAGTTCATAATGCATACCAAGATAATCAGGCTTTATTTTAGTACCAACTGAAATTAATTGTATTGCAATTTCTCTGTGTGCATGGTATGCTGAATATAATTTATCAGTACTCCTATGGTGTAAGCTACAAGGACAGGAACTTTTTGTTTTTAATCAATCAAACAGATATTTGTCAGATGGAGGTTCCTGTCCTTGAACTGTGTTTATAGCATCAATATAGCTCAGACTTGTAATGTATTGTGAGGTAGAATTTTAAGTGAAATCAACATGACTATAAAGATATTGTTGTGAATAGGAATATTGCACCACATACGTAGCCAGCATGAACAGTAAATTTCGCTGCATTGTGCTAGGTAACCATGAAAAATGTTGGTGAGTATTTTGCCAAGACACCAAATTGGGTACATCTTCCCCTTTTTCCTTAAGAAAAGGGAACTAATTTTTGTCTGGTGAATATTTTTTGTATAATATTTGTAATTTTTAAGGACATGATTTTGTTAAGATGCATTAACACATATATATCAGTAAGAAATTATTGTACACAAATAAATTCATAATAAATGAGAATTGGGAACCAGACAGTTTTGGATGTGAGACAAATCTAGACTGTTGACCCCACACCCAGAGCCATGCAAACTTGAAATCAGTCTGCATACAATGAGGCACTATGGGTGAAAATATTTTGGAAAAATTATTTGTGTGAGAGAACCAAAATATTTTCAGATCCTGAAACAGGCTGCAAATATTGAATTCAGTGGTTTAGCTCCTTTTTTCTCATCCTCTGGTTACAGAATCTCAGGGAGTGGTGTTACTAATACTTCATATGTATACTAGGCCACTGCAGTCTCTTTGGATTAATGATTTTATGCCATGAATAGCTTTGTCATGAGACTGTATTTACAAAACCTTCCAATCACTTCATGCAAACTTGCCTTGTTGAGTTTAACAAAATGCATGTTCAATTTTTGAATGCTGGTAGAACTGTTAATAAATTGAGGACCCAGAGAAGGATAAAGTAAATATCAAGTTATCTGAGGCATATAGAGTTCAGCAAAAACAGTCAACTATTATTTCTAAGCTGAAATAATGACCCACTGATTTGCCAACTTCAGTTTTCTTTTTCACTTTAAGGAATATTATGGCATTGCCGAGATCTCTACGGACAGACCTCAGGCCTTTCTGTTGGTTTTAATGTCCACGTTACATATTTGCAGAGCTGACTTAAATAATGGAACTAAACAACAACAACAAAAATTGAATAGCAATTGCCCTTCCTGACTATGTAACATAACTTAAGCTCCATAACGTTCTCAGGCTGACAGAGTATGAGTTTTCACGCACTCGAGTTTCTTCTTAGGAGGTGCTTGCAAACATTGAATGACATAGTAGTTCTAGATGGAGGGGCACCTGGAGGGTGTTAGAGTTCAATTTTTTTAAAAAAAAGCCAACAAAAATCATTCCAAAGTTCTACCGAAGTAACTGACCTCAAACAAAATGTTATTTTTATGGAAATTACCCAGAAGTTCAGTGTTTGACATTGTTCTCTTGATGATTGTCCAACATGTTACAGCTGTGATCCCAGCCATAATGTTTCAGAAACATAAGACATGTATTGTTTCTTCCTCCGTCATGGCTTGATTTCTATGTGGATTTTTTTTTTTTTTTGCCACTTGTGACAACAAATTTGACTTCCAAAGTATTTCTGCTTATTAGCAAACTGATACGATTATTTCCTAAGACAGGCAGAAACACTTTTGGAAGCATCTTGAAGTTTAGTATTATGGCTTTATTATCCAAGAAATAGCTATTTACTCTGGGCGGTGAGTGAAAAGGGAGGCTCTGCTATGGCAACAGGAAACTAGCACATTGTACATGTTTGCTGTCCAATGCAAGGTTATTGCACAAGAGAAAAAATGGCATTAGTCTTTTATTCACAGGCCATGTGTTAGTAGTTGGAAATATTCACTACCATTTCTGCATAAATAATATAGTTTACTCTTGTCCAAGAAATAAAATAGAAATGCCCAAAGTGGCTGCAGTCCATTAAAAATCACGTGCAATTTGGGATAATTTTGTAAGGTTTTCATTAAAAGGACTTCTCTTTCTATTGTAGTGACTTGCTGAGCTTTCATTGATGTGGTTAATAGTTATTTTGTGACTCTTTTGCAATTTTGCAAACTAAGCATTCCAATTAAAACAATCTGGTGTGTGTGTGTGTGTGTGTGTGTGTGTGTGTGTGTGTGTGTGTGTGTTGCCCTTCATTGAATACCCGTGTGTGCTAGTCATGGCCACGTGTAGGTGTGCCTGAACTGGATTGTGAAGTAGTCTAATGATTGAAAGAACATTCATTTCCCCACGGTGTTGTAAGCTATAAGGAGGAGGTTTGAGCAGAAATCATGGAAGAGAAATTGCTGTGAGTAGTTAAGTACAATCTGAGCCTGCTAGGGTTTGAATGTCCTCCCTTTAAAACTCATGGTAAAATTTAATTGCCACTGTAACCATAGTTTCAAAGGGACCTTGAAAGGGTGACTGCATTGTGAGAATGCTGCCCTCATAAATAGATTAGTGTTGCTATCATGGCAATGGGTTATTGCAGGGATGGCTTACTGATAACATGGAGTTTGGTCCCTTTTCCTTTTGCTTCCTCACACAAATGACCAGCCTTTCTGCTGTTTACCATGCAGAGTCCTCATGAGACACCAGTTCAGCATTCTTAGACTTCTGGCCTCCAGATCCATGTGATAAGTAAGCATCTATTGTTTATAACATAACCTGTGAGAGTCTTTTAGAAAAACAGAAATAGACCAGGATGGTCCTTCTAGAGAGGCACATGCTCTGAAGTTTTAGAATACCATTCTTGGGGCCGGAAATCTCTGCTCAGATTCTAAGTGGAACTCAAGTAGTTACATAACTTTTTGCAAGGTTCTGATAAACCTCAGGATTAACTGATAGTTCAAGTAGAAAAAAATTCTCTTTACTAAACTTTTCAAGGTTAAATAAGATGCTTACAGAGCATTTACCATGGTGCCTGACATGTTAGTCATATGACAAACTAAAGGTAATATTGTGATTATATAGCATAGACATGTTGTAAGTCTTCACTCCATGCCAAAGGTATGTACATTTTTGCCTGAGCATGAGCACAAGATATCGAGAATAACATGCTAACTGTGGCTACTTGCCTATACCCAGATGGAGGCAACCACAAGATCATACAGGAAACACACAGGAAGTGCTGGACTCAGCTAATAGAGACTTAATGCAACTCTTCAGATGATGTTTAAGTTAAACCAAGAAGAATGACAGAGTTTGTGAGGCTGGTGAAGGAAGAGGACAGGGTAGGCAGTGAATGATATGTCAACATGTGATGGCGGTGCAAGGACATGGTGACCTGGGACACTGAAAATACACTTCCTTGGTTTGGTCAGAGTCTATATATAGGCAGTTACTGAGAAGCACTGCATTCCATTGCCATGTTCAGAATTTGTCCTGAAGCATCAGTGGTACTGAAAACTCTGGAAGGGCTACGATCAGAATCCTAGGACATACTGGAGCTTTGATGCTTGGGTTATAAGTTAAAACAATACATGTTTTAATATGTAACATTTAATTTTCCAGAAACTTGTAACATGTAATAAAATCCATAAAGGGAGTGCAGGTAGTATTTATAATTCATCCTTACAGTTTTATACTCTCAATTTAATTTTTGGCAGTTTCATACACATATACAAATGGATTTTAGACATATTCATCTCCAGATGCCCTCCCTTTAGAGACTAGCTTTTCAAAAGAGTAATTAAAATCTCTATTCAGGTAAAGAAGCCACACATGATTTAAGGTCTCCATAGAAATTAGTATCACGGATGTGAACATATATCAGGATTGAGATTGTGAAAAAAATTATTTTCTACTGATGAAAAGCACAGCCATTTGCATAAGCACTGTCTAGAGCCTTCCATGGAGAAGGCTGGAAACATAGAAGACTTTAAAAAATGAAAATCCCTATACCCTGTGTCTGGAGACCACGACTCAGTAGTTTTTATAGAGCGCCCAGGTACTCTTAGTCAGCTTTACTGTATTTTTCCCTTTCCTCTCCTCTCCTTCCCCCATTTTTTTAGCATTTTCTTTTATTCCTGATGATTTACCTGAAACAGAATTACATCTCTTCCCCATTCTCTTTGATCCTTCCAGCTTCTCTCCCAGTTTCCACACCTCAAATCCCTCCCATGTCTTTCTGCCACTCTCAAATTGATATTCACAGCATCTTTTTCTTTATTATTGCTACATACATTATATATACATAATTATGTGTGTATGCACAAATACATATAAATGCAACCTCCTGAGTTTTATCTTGCTATCTGACACACCTAAGAACTGTATTTGTAGAGAATTGGAGTACCCGATTTCCTTAAACATATACAATCAAAATTTGGGTCAAATAACATGGTTACTAAGTACTTATTTTTCACAATGGGTGTAAAATTGGCATTGATGTGCTAATCATAATAATTTGAAGGGCAGTTTTAAAATTAGGTACATTGAGGAACTGAGGTGAGAAATGAAAATTATTTACAAATAATCT